TCACGGTTACCTTTGAAGTCTCAAACGCGCAACACATCTACTTAAACATGAAGTTCCTCATCGTCTTCGTTGCTCTCTTCGCCCTGGCAGTGGCAGCTCCTGCTCAAGATCAAGATGCCCAAGTTCTGCGCCAGGATCAAGATGTTGGCATTGACAATTTCAAGTACAGGTAAATGAAGCACATGAGGTGATCGCTTAAGCTTTTACTTATCCTTGGCTTTCCCTAATACAGCTTGGAGTTGAATAATGGTAACCAACAAGAAGCCGAAGGAAACCTCAAGCAAATTGGCGAAGAACAAGCTATTGTCGTTAAGGGCTCGTTCGCCTGGGTTGATACTGAGGGCAAAGTGCACTCAATTACGTACATTGCCGATGAGAACGGCTACCAGCCACAGGGTGAAGATATTCCCGTTGCATAAGCGAAGTTGAACTTAATTAAATTGATTGTTTTATAAATTCTCTTGATGTTTTTATTCGATAAAGGATAATTTGTTGTTTATAGAACTGACTAAACTTTGATTTTTGTGATCATATAACATGTAGGCTAGCATTATATAGAGTTATGTGTATGCATATTCATGTTATGGTCAATGTCAGCTGGAGAATGTCCTGTGCATAGATCGACATTTAAAAGGTAGTACAAAGTTTTGGGTATTGAGTATAAAAAGGTCGCCATAGTCAAAAACTCGATTGACTGGCTTGCCGATTTTTAGCCTCTTCTTCTTCGGTTTGTGCTGCTACAACAGCCGTCGCCGCTATAGCGGTCAACTAAGGTGGAATGTATATACACACACAAACACATATACCGACATACATACATACATATATATGTATATGTGAGTGAGCTGCATTTGCAATACATCAATCGAAGCTGGCTTCAAAGGCCGTTGCATATGTCAAGAGTCAAGTCGCTTTAGCTTTTACCGATTTGCCCGAAGATTCATATATACATCTTTATACATACATATATATATATATGTGTGTATATGAATAGAGTTTTGGACTTGATGTCAATTTGCGGCCCTCCTAACTGTTAAACTGTTGCCATCTCATTGACAACGATCAGAATCGCATCTGAAATTATTATGCATTCAAATAAATTTTAATATCGTGTTACTTGGACAATAAACCATCCGTTAGTATGGTCTTTAGACAAACCATTTACGCATTCATTTAGCCAACATTGAGATACATTAAAAAATATTCAATCGAATTTCTAATACACTTTGAAGAGCAGGAAAATAATTTGAGATGCATAGAATTTATACCAATGAAGCAAAAACGAAATAAATTTATGACTTTTTTTTTAAGCGAGGAAATCAAATCCTAAATAGCTAATAGCAAGACTCGAAATGAAATTTAAATACAATTTTTGAGCTAAGTATCCTTGACTGGAGTAACTGTGGAACTAGGCTTATGCTATGCAGTAACATTCGAATCATTGACTCAACCATCTCACAAGCCAATTGACTGGCAATTCAGTGCTAAAACCTATAGTACTTAGTCTTCAATCAAAATGTTTGCTACGATTGCTTCTGCCAAGTGCATCGGCCAGTTGGTGCAGCCAGAATGCGGATTTGGTAATGTCGCGTTGGAGATTCGCTTTAAATGTTACTTGTCGCAGCGACTTCTGGCTGAGGCTGAAGCTAGAGCTGAGGCTGGCGGCTGGGGGCTATTGGTGAACTGTTGGCAAATTAAATACATTACCGGACGACCGCGAGAGCCGTGTCTATGTGTGTCTTCGGCCATGCAATTGTGCAAAAATTTATGACGTTGGCAAATTCTGCGAGTGTGCGGGAGCTATATAAATGCAGTGAAGATGCGGCATTAGCATCATTGGACGCTCGATAGTTCAGAAGCCAGCACAGACAAACGCACGAAAATTCTCGACAAGATGGTGAAACTGGTAAATGGATAGCTGCTAATCGATAACACACAAAGCGAATAATCGAACAATCTTCCCAATCCTTGAACAGATGCTAGTCGCTGCTCTGCTGCTCTTGGCTGCCGCCAGCTGCAGCGCCCGTCCACAGAACGACGTCGAAGTTGTGGAATACGAATCGGATAACATTGGCATTGGCGGCTACAAGTTCAGCTACAAACTGAGCGATGGCACCACCCGCACCGAGGAGGCCGTCATTAATAATGCGGGCACCGAAAACGAGTCCCTATCGGTGCGCGGCTCCGTCAGCTGGGTGGCTCCCGACGGACAGACCTATACGATTAATTTTGTGGCCGACGAGAACGGATTCCAGCCGGAGGGCGCGCATCTGCCCAAGTAAACTGCATGGATAACTCACATGGATAATGAGAGAGATAGAGAGAGAGTGAGAGAGAGAGAGAGAGAGAGAGTGAGGGAGGAAGTTCGAGTTCATGTTGTTTGTGCTGTGCAACAGTCAATCATTCATTCAACCAATCAATCATTCAATCAGCCAGTCAGTCAGTCAGTCAGTCAGTCAGTGAAGTTTGTGTCGTGCATTGTAACAGTTAATCGCATTAAAAATGAATTTCGCTACGATATACATATATGTTTATTATTTGAGCAGCTCTAGACTAAATAATCGATCTGTTTCAGTTTGCCTCATAATTCAACTAAGCACTGGCAACTGCTAACAGTGCCCTCAAAATATATCTATACTGTCGAAAACAATTTATGATCAGCTACAGCATATTGATCTTTTTTGTGCCCCAAATGGTAAGACTTTGGCACACCCAAGACTAGAAGTAGAATTGAGAGAAGCGCTCACAAAGAAAAAATTGCCATAAAGTTGAAAAAATAATCAACAAACTATATGTCTCTATAATTTGAAGTCTCAGCTCAACATGGTTGCCAGCAGACTTTGCGATAGAAAAAGGAAAAGAAGAATAGCAAACTGGAAACATATGCAAATTATATATAAATTATAAATAACGTTTGATTTTATAAATATATAAAAAAAAAAAAACGGAGGTGTTAAACTCTTTAATGAACTCATCACACATTCTAAAAATATAAATATAAATAATATATAAAATGCACTTTTTTGTTGATGGTATGCTTTATATTTATTGTTGTTTATTATATAAAAACTTTAACTTAGAATTAAACTTTTGGTATGTGCGCTCCCTCGGGCTGGTAGCCATTCTGATCGGCCACAAAGTTAACCTCGTAGACGACGCCATCGTCGCCCACATAGGAGAAGCTGCCCTTAACGGAGATGGCCTCATCCTCGGTGCCAATGTTGTTCAGGATTGCCTCCTCTTGGCGCTTGGTGCCGTCGCTAGTCTCCAGCTGGAGCGAGTAGCCGTCCGGCCTCACATCGGCCGTTTGGCTGACAATTGTGGCATCATTGGTGGGTGCGGCGGTGGCAAGGGCCACACAAAGGCCGAGGCAGACGATGGCTAATGCGCACTTCATACTTGGACTGCGGATAATAATGTTGTGTGCTCCTGGGCAAGCGAGTGCCTTTTTATATCAGCTGACAGCTGACAAGAGCAGCTAATGCAATTAACACTTTATTTTGTTTATATAAACATTGTTGTTTCTTCGTTTTTTTTTTGCGGCTATCTATGTTGAGGCCAAAATGTGTTAATTGTCGCCTCTGGAAGACAAACCAAACCTGAAAAAAAGACAAAAATATGCAGAAGCAAGCAGCAGCTCGAGCAGACTCTGGTGAGCTGATGAGCTGTCGATAATGAATGGCGCTTCAAATCCATATCTACTTAATTTACAACTTGTTTTACATATGGGTAACTGGTTATTTTGGAAAATATATCAATCGATTCTGTCTGCCTTCATCATCATTTTTATCGTCATTGTTAGTTGAAACTGATTGAATAAATGTGCTAAATGTGTGTATGTATGTGTGTGTAGTACCAACAAATTATCCTTTATAGAATAAAAACATCAAGAGAATTTATAAAACAATCAATTTAATTAAGTTCAACTTC